GAGTCAACCTGTGGGAGAGTGACATCACCAGTCATAAAACACAGATACAACCAGATCAGTAGCACAACCGAAAACACACACACTGTTGGTACTGGGTCAGTTGGGGTTGGGGGAGCAGAGGAGGCCACACTTACTCTTAAGCCTTCCCTTTTGACAGAACTTTTGGTTTGCCATTCTGACTCACACAGAAGAAAACTTGATGGAGAAAATAGGGCCGGGCCGGAGGGCAGTGTCATGGAGATGACTGTCATGTGACAGTGTGTCCGCACAGAGAAAAGGAGGTAATGCAGAGATCACAGCTTAATCCAGCTGCCCCTCCACAGCTCAGGACATGGTTTATCATTCCTGCCCTTTGGATAAATCTCACTCAGTGGCCTGACATCTTCTAAGGGGGCAGGGTACTAGAAAACCACATCTGAGTCTGGTTGCTACAGCAACAGAGTAGCTGGTTACATGCTGCCGGATCAACCATGAAGACCACACTCTCCTTACAGCTAGTCCATCTGAGGGTGAGCATGTCTGGCATCAGCATCTGCACCTTAGTCAGCTCAGGCTGTTATATATAACAAGACACCATTGATTGGATGGTTTAAACAACACATTTTTTTTCTCAAGTCCTCGAGGTTTTAGAAATCCAACAGTAGTATCCACATGATTAGGCACATAGAGAGGGTTCTTTTCCTGCCTTGTAGAAGGCCACCCTCTCGTATCCTTACATGGCAGAGATAGAACAAGTTCTCTGTTTCCTTCATTTCAGAGAACTCATGGTATAATGAGGGCTCCACCCACTGACCTCACATACATTGAAATACCCCATCCCACCACCTAATACTATCACGTTGGGAGTTAGGGTTCCAATACATGAGTTGTGGGGGGACACATTTATTCAATTCATAAGAGTGATGAAACTTAGCTCCCCATCACTGGAAATGGTGCTACCCTTTATGGACCTGACTTTTCCTCAGGTGCTTCAGGAGACACTCTCCATCCCCGCCCTACTTCCTTGCAATAGCAGGGCAAACCTTCCCTGAAGACACTTAAGGGTATGGCCCTTCTTATTGTCAGCCACTGAGACCTAGAAGAGGTGTCTGCAAGGGTCCTGTGTTTGGATGGGTGTGGCCTGTTGTCTTCTCATCTGGGATGCTCTTAGTGAGTGACTGTAGACCAGTCAAGGTACATTCCTGGGAAGGTTCTGGAAGGTGGAAACATAGTGGGCCTCTGAAGCACAGTGATGGGAGAGACCAGCTAGAACTCTAAAGGAGCCCAACCCTCTGTCCCCATGAAAATCACAGCAGCTATTTGGCTTATCAGCTTTGGCCTGGCTGGTGACTCCCTCCTTGCCCTCTTATCTCCATTGAGGAAGAAGAAAATGATAAAAATTTCAGAGCAGGAGAAAGACTGGGATCACTCTCTGAGAATAAGTCAAGGCAGGCTTTTGCCCCCAACGACCACCCTTTTCAAGAGAATGCAGAGACTTGGGCTTCTGAACCACACTGGCGAAACTCCAGTCTCTTGGGAATTCATCTTAGGTTCCCAAGTTGGTTCCTTTTTGCCTCAGTATCTCTGGTTGCCAGAGTGATGTCAGCCCTGGGAAAAAGGGCCTACTTCTGGTCCACGCTCTGAGTTAGCTAACTCCATTTGTGCACAAAATCTGGGAGGGCCCGAAGAACAGTCCCCTCCCCCCAGCTTGGGATATTTGCCTCAGAGGGTCTCAGCAGAAGCTCAATCTGAAGAAAGCTTTCAGGCAGCTGGGACTATGGCCAAGAGACCTTTTAGCTAGGTCCTTCTTGTTGTTAACCTTTCACAATATTATTTAAATTTAATTTTAGAAACAAATTACTCAACTGCAATGACACAGAGGGACATTATACTAGTAAAAACCAAAATAAAATATGTTCAAACTGATTGACCTTCCACTTTCCAGACTGAGCTGTTTGCCTTAAAGTTTTTATTGTAAAAATTTTCAAAGGCAACATTGTAAGATGTATAGTTAATACCTATAGTCTTACCATCTATATTCAACAATTAGCATTTTCTACACTGTATTATATGTCTATCCATCTACTTATCCCTCTATCCAATTCATAATCCATATTTTGATGCATTTCAAAATAATTTGTATACATCACCATAATTCTCTCCTAAATACTTCAACTTACATACCCTTAATAGTTTAATATTAAATTTTTACAGTCCTTTTCCATTTGTGGTAAATTTATAGGCTGTGTCATACATAAATGTAAGTCACTTGCACATGCATTTGCAATGACCACGCAGATACCTGTACCCCAAGCCTAGAAAGCTTGAGGTACAGGTCAGCCATAGTCACTCCCCTTCCCAGTCACTCTCCACTTATCCACAAGCAACACTGTGATATTTTTTCTACCGCTGATACATTTCCTGATCTCAATCTTTATCAAAATAGAATTGTTGCAGTCTCAGTGGTTGTGTCCCCCGAAATAACATGCTGAAACCTTACCCCTAAGGGATATTCAGAGTAATAGCAATTGAGGCCTTCGGGAAGTGATTCAGTATTGAGGGCTGTACTGTCATGAATGGGATTAGTGTCTTTTTTTTTTTAATATAATAGTTTATTTTTACACCATTTTGCGCCTTTTTCCATTTCAGTTGTAATCCCCATAGGCTTCCCATCACCAAATCACCTGGGATTAGTGGCCTTTTAAAGGAGGCTCCAGTGAGCTTGTCATGCCTTCCTCTATGTGAAAACACAGCAAAAGACAAATATTTAGGAAGATACCAACCATCCATCCTGTTGGTGCTCTAAATTGGCCTCTCCAGCTTTTAAGAATTGTAAGAAATAAATGTTTGCTGTTCATAAGTCACCCAGTTTATGGTATTTTTGTGATAGCAATTATAGCATAATAAGACAGGAACCATTCAGTATGGTCTCTTTAGTGCAAAGCTTCTCTCACTTAGTATAATTTTTTAAATATATTCATTACATCACCTTTCTTTTTATACAATGTGTGATTTCCTCATGAAATTCCCACCACCAGGCCCTGCCTGGTTGCGCAATGGATTAAAGCACATCATTATGAAGCTATGGCAGCCACTGCAACACGAGTTTGACCCCCAGCCAGGGAGCTGACCCACATGGCGCAGCAGACATCTCCTGACCTGCCCACTGCTCCCCTCACTAGTGTTTTTCAGTACATCTGCCTGTTCTGCTCCTTCTGTCTCTGGTGAATCCCTCACCCCCACCCCCACCCCCCTGCCCTCGTCACCTCTGGCCTTGTACCTCAGTTCTATAGGTACAAATAAGTAAATCTTAAAAAAAAAAAAAAAAGGAATCCCCATCCCAATTCCCCTGTGCACCATCACCATTATCTCTTGTGCTCTTCCCACTCTGTCCTGGTCCTTCTTCCTCCTCCTCCCCTACAGAAAGTCTCTGATCTGTAGTTGCCTGATGATTTTGAGTTTTACTTTACTATAGTTATTTTTTTTTTCTGATTCCTTTTTTGTTTTCTCTACATTCCTTCCATGTTTTAAGTGTCATTCAAACTGTTGTTTGTGTGAGTGGTTCATTCTTTCTAATTACTAGGTAGTATCCCACTGTAATTTTACCAGTGTGTCCAGAGTACTAGCTGGACACTTCTGCTTCCAGTTTTGGACAGTTATAAGATTTCAGAATATCATGAATACTATGCATAAAGATAAACTCAATTTTATACAAATCTTTTGCAGACGTGTTTTCATACTTTTGGATAAATATTAGGGAATGAAATTGCTGGCTCCTGAGGTAGATGCCTGAGTGTTTATTTTACACCTCCCCAGCGACACTGGAACGCGTGGTTGCTCCACATCATCAGGTCCATGTGGATTTATCCATCTTTCTAATTTCAGATATTTTGGTGGGTGTGAAGTGATTTATGCTGCTATTTTGGCAAGCTTTCCAAATTAACAAGAAATATATATGTACACGGATCAGGATGCAGGAAATAGTGGTTGAAGGAGAGCTAGAGATCACCATAAATGATGATAGTAAAATTCACCTATCCAAACCCAGTTTAAGAGAAAAAAAACAGCTAAAGGGAGGTGAAGGACACACTCAGACACACCTACACACCTATAATTCTTTCAGTTATATTCCAATATTAGAAAAGGAAACTGAAGGCTCAGAAAACTGCAGACTTCCTTAGGATAGGAACTCTGCTTCCCTACAGAGCTGGTTTGGTGTGGACCACAATGTGCTCCCCTAATTTGCTTCCTTAAGGTCAACGTCCCTTAAGTACCACCTTTGAGCTGCTTCAGCCTGAAAAACAGAATTAACAATCGCCCCGACAATTGGAAGGAACCCCCTGCTCCCCATTCCTTCTTTCCAGCAGCAACTCTGGCCTGGAAAAAGGGAAGTAACATTTTAGGGGCATGAGCACCAGGACCCACCGTAGGCATTACACATGTGCTATGTTCATCCACACAACACCAGCTTCTCAAGTGAGGCAGTGACATTCTCATGGTATAGATGTGAAACCAAGATGCAAAGACGTGGTAAGTTGCCTGGGGCCACAGAGAATCAGAAGTAGGATTTGACTCTGAACCCTGTTTTCTGACCACTGCACTTTACTAAGCACAAAATGGCAAACTGGAGGAGGCTCAGTAGCTCGCTCAGTGCTGAGGTCAGTCATCGACAGTGCTCAGGCCTCTTAGTCCTGCCCCTCCTTTTCCTGTCTTTTCTGTTCTCTAGTGCGTTAATGTTGACGGTTTGACTGTTATGTCTTTCAGAAGTGTGTGTAAATAAGCTTCAGCCTTCTCTTCTACAGTGGTTACTGTGTCTCAGGCTTGAGCTTCTCTCTTGCAGGAAGGTGGCATTAACTTGTCACTTTCCGTCTTCCCTTCCCCTACCTTGGTTTCACTGACCTAGTGTGACCGTGTGAAGGACACACAGAGACCCTCACTGGTCCTTTCCCTCTCCATTCCCATCTGCCCCTTCTGAGGAAGGGAGGTAGTTGTGTTCATCACGTTTCTCTTGAGCCAGTTACCTGTTCCTGAAATGCACTAGCTTGCTCCTCAAATCCCGCTGTTCGGAAATAGTTGACGACATCCATCACGGCCCAGTCTGCAGGGTCCGGGGGTCTCCCATTCTCCATGGAACTGCAAAACACAACCCAAAGAGTTGTCATGGCTGAGTATATAAGAGTGAGCCAGCTGGCTGGAAGCTGACTAGGCTCTCTGCCCTCAGAGGCCCAGATCCCAAGCAAGGTCATAGGCATCCTTGCATATCTTGGGTTGGGAAGATTATAACTCTCACTGGCTGTCACTGCTTTCTTAATAAAACATTAGATCTTTCAAATAAAGCATTTTCTCAGATACTTCTTTTTAATACAGAAATATTATTAAGAATGGTCCAGTGATTTCTGTTGGTTCACAGTAGGATTTTCACACTCCTGAGTTAAAAACACCAACTCTTTCCCACAAGAACCCATGTGTCACCTTCCTCATTTCCATCTCCACATAGCCAAAGAAAAAGCTACATCACACCCTTCCACAGCTCTGGGCTTTTCTACATGTTTGTGATTCCAGCACTTACAATGCTCGTCATTTGCCTCTACCAGATAAAACCCTACCATTTCTACCAGTTTGAATATGACGTATTTTCTGGCTCCATCAGGTAAATGTTTTCATTATCCCCTCCTCTCAATCTAAGAGCTCCATCCAAATTTCCATTTCTACACTGCATTATACTCTGCTTATTGGATAGTCTCGAGACTGTCCAGTAAAATAGGAGATGTGGGTTAAAGGTATGCATTTGGGGCCATTTCTTGTTTTATTATTTCTAATGTCAAGCACATCATTAGCAACTGTCAGATGATAAGCAAGCACTTGTCTGAGATGGTCTATGCAGAACCTGCCTATCTGGCTGTAGAGGACAGGGGCAAGAGAGAAGTGGACAGGGGAAGAATGGCGAGGAACTATATATAGCCATTGTGACTGCCTTACTTCTGTGGTTCAAGAGTATCTGTTTGGATTCTCTACAGCACATCCAAAGTGATTCTCCAGAGTATAACTCAAATCACATCACTCTCCCACTTAAAATTCTTCAAATATTCCCATGATCTTAAGATAAAGTGCATACAGGCCCTCCCCGGTGGCACAGCAGGTTAAAACACAATACTAGGAAACTAAAGCCACTTCAGCATGAGTTTGATCCTGGACCCACTTCAGTGCCAGTTTGATCCCCACCCCGGAGGTGACCCACTTGGCTCAGCAGACCTCTCCTGACCCTCCCACTGCTCCCTCAGCAGTGTACTTCATCAATCTGCCTGTTCTGTTCCCCACTCTGTCTCTGGTGAATCCTCTCACTGTAGCTGCACCTCTGGCCTATACCCCAGTTCTGTGTACATAAATAAATAAATCTTTAAAAAAAAAAAGATAAAGTGCAGACAGCTTAACTTGGTTTAGACAGTTCCTCAGGACAATGCATAGATTGGAAGGAAGCTGGAAGTGCCTGCCTAACTTTCCAGAGAATACCTTGGTGAACAAAACAGACATGGTCCTTACTCTGTGGACCTACAGAGAGCTTAGAAGTTCTCTTCCTTTTGGCCAACACTACTCAGTCATCATACAACTAGATGTTCCACTGCACATGGCTGTGATGCATCATACTGGGGTGGTCTGAGGGGTAAAGGAAGACTTTCCTGTGGAGTTTCTTTTGAGGTCAAAGCAGTCCAAGTGTGAAGAAGTCCGGTGAAGATTATTCCAAACTCTGGCAGAAATACACACAGCCAAGGGACAATGCAGGTCAAACAGGTGACATGCAGGATGATGTATGTGTCTAAGAGCAATGGCGCCCTACTGCATGGACTCATCTATAATGGGGGACCTCGTCAGATTTACATTTTGAAAAAGAGAGTACTGTAGATGGCCAGGGGAAGGGAGGGATACCAGGGAAAAGTCCATTACAATTATCCAAATGAGAGATTGTGGTGAAACCAATAAGAGTAGCGGCTATGGAAAAAGAGACTGGGGTGCAGACTTAAAAGATATTGATAAGATCAGCATGACTTGCAGGCTCTCTCTGGTGGCATAATGGGTTAAAGCACAGCACTATGAAGCTGTCGGAAGCCAAGGCAGCACAAGTTCGATTCCCAGCCAGGGGGCTGACCCACATGGTGTAGCAGACCTCTCCGGACCTGCCCACTGCTCCCCTCAGCAGTGTATTTCAGTCTATCTGTCTGTTCTGCTCCCTACTCTGTCTCTGGTGAATCCTCTCACCCACTGCACTTCTGGCCTGTACCCCAGTTCTGTAAGCATAAATAAATAAATCTTTTTTTAAAAAAATCAGCATGACTTGATGGCAGAAGCAACCTAGAGAACAAAGGAGATGGAAGCATCAGGGAACTAGATGCATGATGGCAACTTCACTTAGACAGCACCGCCGATCTTAGTTGGAAATGTTGAATTTGGGGTGTAAATTTAATGTGGGGCATGAGTCAGGATCTCAAAGCAGATGAGTAGGATACAGGTACATTTGGGAGGCAATGAGATGGTAACTGAAACCGTGGGGGAGGAGAGAAATGAGCTTTGAACTAAGCTTGGAGAGACTCAACATTTAGTGCACAGTGAAAGCTTTCATGTTACTTTCAATGGAAATGAAATTGCCCAATGTTGAAGGTACGGAACGTCTGACTGTATCTCTGCCTCACTCACAGCACATTATTTTGTGCTTAGGAAAAATTTTTAAAAATTTGATTATAGAACAAACATCTATCCTAGCCAAAGAAAAGGGACTGATCAATAATGTGAGTGATCAATAATTTCTCAACACAACACTAATTTAAAAACATCTAGGGTCAACACTTACTTAGACTTGAAAAAATACTTAATGTGATTTTCCATTTGACTTAAAGATTGTTAATCTATAAACGTTTCATGCCCGGGTACACTCACTAGTGGTGTGACCGTGTGTGTGCATGTGTGTGAGTGTGTATGCATACCCATACTGGTCTATTGTTTAACAATAGGGAATAAAAATAATCTATCACCCTAACATTTTTGAACATGAACTGTATACTTTAAAATCAAAACTAAATGGGTTTTAAAATATGACCCACAGCCTGGGAATCTCTTTCCATCAATTTCTTAGCATAAGCAATCTCGAGCTGACATTTGGGCCTCTCTCTTCGAGGTACCAATTCCCTTCCCGCTCTTGCTTAAGAGGGGCTTCGAGAATGTGTGGAAAGGAGTTCACCGTTCCAATAAATCTTTTAAGTTTTCTAATCACCTCACTCCTAGCAGTGAGCACAGAGCTTCATTGGATAAACTTTTAAGTACCTCAAAAATATCTGATTCAACCTCACAGTGGTTGACTTCAGTTAGCTGCCTTACCTCACAAAGAATAGTTGCCTAATTGTAATAACAAAGTACACTACATTGTAATTTTAGGAAGGGGACTTTCTTGATTCTTATTCTGGTGACACATCACCTCCACATCCTGCAGTCTACCTGAGTACTAGCATTGCAGCAGAGAATAAAGACAGCAAAGCAGCAAGCAGTGCACCATGAAGAATAGGAGCTCTGAGGGACACGGCTTCCTTCATCTCAGGGTGATGGGATCCAAGCAGAAGAAATGAGTGGTTAGATAGCAATCAATGACTTAATGATTGATCTATCCTAATTAAAGTCTGATAGTCCAAGAAACAAAATTGAACAAAGCAGAAAAATAATCACAGTAGCAGACCATGCACACGCTGAAAGATTAACCCAATCTTTCCTCATCTCTGTAGCTCTGCAGTTTCTAACTCAGGAGGGACTGGCACAGTAGATACACTGCAGAGATGTGGTCTAGAGCTTTAGAATCTACAATACGGTTTTCACACAATGCTTAATATCAGTCTCCCAACTTGTGACTTGGCTACAGTAACTTGTTTCATAGAAGACTGAGAAAAGTCAAGAAAGGTAAGAAACTACCCCAAACCACACAGTAGACAAAATCAGGATTGGCTTGTGTGTGTGCCTGTGTGTGTGCTCGGAAAGGTGTTGACTGTTCTGATAAATCTTTTAAGTTTTCTTTATCAATTCACTTCTGGCATTGGACAGAGTCTCACTGGATAAACTTTCAAGTGTCTTGGAAATATCTGCTTTACCCTTACTGTGGCTGAGATATATGTAGAGCTACATTCATAACCATAGATCTCTCAATCTAGGCTTTTCCCAGTCTACTTAGTCACTGATACCACAAATATTTACTGAAAGTGGATTGTGTCCTCAGTAATGGGTTAGAGGCAGGGCTATAAGGACAGGAATGCAGTATCTGCCCTCATGAAGCAGGCAGTCTGGGAAGGGGAAGCAGATGTGTAAATAGCTAATTTTAATTCTTGTGGGAACGGAGGGTGGACACATCCATTGCAGATACATCCCAGAAAGGCAGGATAGTTCTACCTGAACAGGGTGTTGGAAGATTTTCAACAGCTATTTTGAAAGGCATCTGTTGCTTCTCACAGACCCTAGACTATTTAGAGATGGATCACATTAGAGAACGGATGGCTCGCAGCGGCAGGTAGAGGCAGACACACACTGCCACTTCTAGGTTGTTTATGTTAAGGTGTGACATATGATATTGCCTGGCCCTTACGAGAAAGTGGGAGAGGATCCAAGACAACACGGTGATAAGGGTGTGGGGAGAGGAGGAGGCCATCAAAGTGCATGGCCGGATAGTATCTGACATGAGACCATTTCACAGGGTGAATTTAAGCATCACCTTTCCCTGCTGAGAAAGTCATATATCTCCTCTAGGACTGCTATTTGTGGCCAAACTGAGACACTTTATTCACCTATAAATGGATTATTCTCTCCAAAGCTTTTCTTGTAACTTGTGCATGTCAGATTCCAGAAGGAATTCAAACGGCACTGTTTAAAAACACCTCCCAGATGGTGGTTCCCTTTGTGGCAGCTAGTTTTGCACTGATGAAATGAGATGGCAGATATAAAATTCCCATTATCACTTGATAGCTATTCACTATCATCATAGCAAAATGTTTCTTAAAATATAATGTATAAAATAGATCAATTCATAAATACTTTTCCATGCGTGGAATCCAAAATCTACATGTGTATTTGTTTTATTACAACATCATAACAAAATTAACAAGGAG